TGATTACGAACAAGAAAACCAGTTTGGTGATGTAAGAAGGACGAAGTAAGGGCTAGGTTCAACGTAAGGTCATTGGTATTAGGCGGAATCCATGTCATCAATTGAGGCTTAGGGATTGGGTTTTTGGAGATCTTAGACCTAGGAGTGTAGTCCATGAGGTCTCTACGGATGTTGGAAATGGCCTCAGACTCATTAATAATAATATTCTCAATCAACTTGGCATTCCTCACCTTCCAAATATTCCATAGAATGATACAATAAAGCAGGAAATTTTTGTGCTTTGTCCAATTTAGGATATTGATTGTAATTGTACCAATAAGCTTGTCTCTTTTAATTTGGAAGTGCTCCCAAATAGGCTTATGATAACTGCATTGCAGAAAACAGTGATCAATGTTGTCATCATGATCACAGTGGGGGCATTTAAAAGGACCGGCATAGCCGAATTTGATAAGAGTTTCAGAGCAAATGATAAGATTGTTAGAAATCCTCCAAAGGAAAAAAGAGAGTTTTTTTTGAATCGGTTTATGCCAAAGTTGACCAATTTCCGTGGTTTTGGGCCTTTTCTTTCTAATGTCATCATAGGCCAGATGGAACTGGAACTTTCCATTGTTGGACTTGGTCCAACGAATCTCATCCTCCCCATCATCAAAGATGGGAGTAATCTGGGTCAAGGCAGTTTGGACATCCCATGGCAGCATGTAAATGTGGGCTGAGAGGTTATTATATGCCTCACGAATGGAAAGCAGAGGGTCACATTGGGTCTCAAGTATCAGGTTTTTGAGCTGTCCAAGGGGATTCCAATTGGAATCCTAGAACGACCTGTTACCAGCATGCACAATCACACAAGTGTTGGCACTATAAATAGCTTTAACAGAGCACATCAAATTCCAGAAAAATGAAAGACTTGGACTACGAAAGGCTTTGAAAATTTTGGTCCAAATGTTGTCCCCGTTGTCACTTTTCCACCATAGCTTTACAAAGAAGCATTTTTGAACATCCCTTAAGACAAATCTTTTTCCTATGAAGGTTAAGACAAATCTATGTGGTAGAATGTATCCTAATAATTTTCAAAATGTAACCACAGAGCTAGCTATATTCCTACTTATATACTTTTTTATGATTCCAACTTATATGCTTATATAGCACACTTAGTTTTTCATTGCAATTGCTAAGCCCATATGGTGTTTGCCTCTTTTTTTAGGATTAAACTTTTTTCAGTACAATTTAATGTCTCATCTAGAAAAATGGAATATAATCATCTTATATTGAGCATAGTTGTAGACTAGATTGCATTGTACAGACGTGTTACTTTTTTGTGTATAGATGTCTAACTTCCTTATACTATCTGTAACGATAAGATCATAATTCAATTTTATAATGAAAATTGTACTTTGCTATCATTTGGAAATTACTTGCAAATTTGCAATGCCTTAACCATTACAGAATGATGCACTTAAATTGGTATCAAAACCAAAAGCGAACTTTTGGGTTTTTAGAGCTTTTTACTTACCAGCTCCTCTTGGCTTGGTTGGTAGGTTCAAACCACCAATTCAAGAGTTCAAAGCCGGTAGAAGAGGAAGAGCAAAAAAGAGCTTTTTTACTTCTGCCAATTGTAGAACCTAGCCCATTCATAGATACAGAGCAGTTGTTTATTCCCCTTTGTGTGACTCATAAAGTGTCTTAGAATAGCCCTGTTTGAATACCCCAAACAACTCTACTAATCATAAGGTCTTGTATCAACAAGTCTTCTTACCCCTAGAACTGTTACAATTGGTGTTGCATAGGGTAATTTATTTGGCCCCTTTTCTCTCATTTTCACCAAAAAATGCCTCAATCATTCTGCATGCCGAACTAAGGATCCTTCATAAAGGATGAAGTAATGGACTTCTATGCAAGGGATTTTCCTTTGGTAATTACATGTATAATGAATTTAGTTATAGCCTATGAGTAGTGTGGGAATGACAGGGAAAAATGGGATTTTCTTTTGTCCATAGGAGATGGAATTGCCTTGGAAATTAAATATTATAGAAATGGCAGTATTCACTAAAGAGTTTCTGGGAAATTTATATTGACAGTAATGAAAGATTTTGAAGACTATAATGAGCCTACAGTATTTGCCCAAGTAGACAATTGTCTGTTTGATTCTAACCTTGGATATTCAACGACATTCCTCTAAGTATAAAATAACCATGAACACTTTCTGAATATTTAATCTTTTCACAAATCATTTTTCTTATAAAAATGTAATCACCTTCAATTTTATACTACCACAAAATTATTGGGCACCACCTCTATCGCGCAACGCGCGTGACGAAAACTATTTTTACTATAAGGAATGATTTTAACAAGGGTTAGTGCGGGACAAAAAGTGTTAGTTCACATGCACTCATTCTTGAACACCTTCTGATGTTCGCTTGTCATTCTAATTTCAAATGTGTTAATACCCGAAAATGACTTGTTATGTCATGATGGTAAATAAAAATCAAATACATTCGGTTTCAGGTGTTGCTTTTTTGTTGAGAAAATCTTTTTGTAATCATGACCAACTTTGCGTGATTCTGTCAAAAGCATCGAATCATCGAGTGTTAAAAAATCACATTACAAACAATGAGAGAGGAACAAACATTGAAACCAAGAATGCTACATATAAAAAAGAGTACGTTTCATAACCTATAGCAGGGAATCTAATGTACTTTCAAATTATATTTATATTGCATGATTGTTACTTACTATTTTGTGGTGCTATAAAAATTGTTGTACTATTACGTAATCATTGAAATGTCAATTAGACACTCACACTTTTAAAAACACACCTAGAACACATAAAAATGCTCAATTGGGGTTTTGACCGGCAGACTCATAATAACTTTAGCAATTTTATGTTAATTAACTAGCTTTACTAATTACTTTCGAGTTTTACGCATGTCGTATGGAGTATTGCAATTTTTTTAGACGATCTAAATAGGTTGTAAACAAATAGTGTAGTAAGGCTGTAATGCGGAAAAACATTCTCCATCTATGATCCATGGAATGAGGGGCGTAGCTAGGGGTGGGCCAGACCTGGCCCTGGCCCAGCCCAAATTTTGAAAATGTCTTTATTTTTAGTGTAAAAAATTTTGTGTAATTTTTTTTTTTTCAAAAATGTTCTTTGTACCGGCCCAGTCTGGCCCAGTGTCCTGGCTCCGCCCCTGCATGGAATCTTGTCATCTAATAATACATGTAGTGATTAATGGATAATGAATTTTGTTAATGAATCAATATATATATTATATTTATAAAAGAGGAACGTTTTAAGAGCATACAAAGCGCCGCATAAGCCTGCCATGTCATTATATATAACAATTATTTAGTTATTTTTATACCTTTTGTTTTTATTAGATTCTATTTTTGATTGCATATTGATATGGAAACAAAAATCCTTAAAAATCCACCTTAATTAATTTGGTAAGCTTCAAATAAGTAAAATAATTTTTGGTTATCAAAGTGAAATTCTAATAACGCTTATTGATATGGAAACTAATTAACATAAGTTTACTAAATGGAATTAAATAGAAACAAATATGCAAATTAGTTTACTTATTAATTTGACACCTATTAATAAATTAGTAAGCTTCAAATAAGTAAATATTTAAAAACGAAATTAAAAATTATAACCAACATAAAGTATATATATTTTCACAAGTAAATACGTTTAGCCTAGCTAAATAAGTAAATATTTTTGGTTGTTTCTTTAGTTTACACCTAAAATTTAAATATGCCTTCACTTTTGAAATAAATTCATAATCCAAATTAGAAAATCTTTATATGTTTACAAATTCCTACATTTATTTTAATAGAATGTTTTTAATTGGATTGATTTCAGTTCCAGAATAAATCAAATCAAATCAAACTTTAATAATTATAATAATAAGTCACATAAAAAACAGACATCTAATAGACCATATTAATTCATACCAAATCAAACCCGAAATTTTAACTCAATTAAAAACATTCTTATTACTGAGTAAAGTGTAAGATCTAACAATTAAGAAATATAAAAAAATTAATATTGAGTTCATAACAATTATGTTTACTTGAGATGCTTATGTAGAAGACCAATTTAACTTTTTTTCATATAATTTTTTCTTTGTTTCACAAATGGAATATATTTCACAATTGTTTTTCATGATTCAAGAGATTCCACCTATTTAACCAGAATTCAATCAGTTTCAGCAAAATAAGTTAATTTTATTTATTTTAGCATTATCAAACAGACTCAATATTAGACTAAGTTTATTTTTCTTTTAAATCACATTATATGTGATCCGATAGAAATTAAATTTCAAATTAGCTAAATTACATACTGTCCGTCCATCGCACGGGCTTGAAAGCTAGTTGTTAATAAGTAATAACGGATTCAGCAAATTTGATTAATGCAATAAATAGATGATTTGTGAATAGATGTTTGATAATTTAACAGTTTAGCCGTAACAATCATTAAAAATGACCTATTTCAAAATGCTAACCCAAAACACTAATATTTGTGACATTTTCATTTGAATGATTTGGCAAAAAACCTATGACTCAATAACCAATTACCAAACAATTTTTCCACTTAAAAAAAGTCAAATCACAAATTTTTTACTAAAAGTCTAAAACCCCTCAAACATGTTGTAATTAAGAATCAAAATAAGCTTAAAAGTTAGGTTTAAATATGTTTTTAGTCCCTACAAATATAGTTCATTTTGTTTTACATTCCTGCAAAATTATTATTTTTTTGTTTTTCGTACCTGAATTTATGTTTGTTTTCTTTTTAGTCCATCATTGATGATAACAAACTACGCTTGACTTCAAAATAACCTTGATTAATAGATTTTCCCTAATTCTTTATCATGTTATTAAAATTTTTTTTTAAACTTTTAATATGTTTTAAAATGTTAATACTTAGTTTTACATTATTTTAACTCTCATATTAGCTTCAAAAAATTGTAAAACGACAAATTGAAATATTTCTAATAAATCTAGGCAACTCACAATAATTTTTTCAAAGTAAAGAGGTTTTGGAATATCAGAGGGACTAAAATCAAAATAGTGGATATTAGAGGGATAAAAAAGATAAACAAAGATTGTAATATTTGGAGGGACTAAACACGTATTAAAGCCTAATCGTTAATGAAGGCGACATGTCAAATCAAAACCACTGCAGCAGCATAGAGTACGTGGCACTTTAATCGCACGATCACCGGGCCAGTGGGCCATCATGTATCTGTGCTGACCGGAAACATAAAAACTCTAAAAAAATAATCCTAGTCTCCGGCCGCCGGAGGAGATGATATCGACCCGAAAACCCGATCATCGTCGTTCTGATCTCCGCTCCCGGCTGCTGGGTTTTTATTGAGCAGACCAGAAGGGGATTGATTACGGTAAGAGAACGGCGGCTGCTGGAATGCCAGTACAATTTGGTCTTCTTCCCCCGCATTAATTTCCCGCCCCAGAGGTGGCCTGAGCTCGTCGTCGTCGTCGTCAAGATTTGTGTTGGAAGGAGAAGGTCGCTTCCGTCGCATGAACGCCGCCGCCGTCATATCGACTCCTACATTCTGCTGTTGGGATAACGAGGAGGGCCGCCGCATCAAAGGGTTGCTGGTGGGAGATATTCCTTCTTCTCTCCTTGCTCTGCCTCCCGGTGTCGTCATCGACGCCGACAACCTCGCCGTGCCGGAAAACAGATCCAAGCGACGAGAGTAAAGCCCGCCGGCGCTGCCGGAGAACGGCCCGGCGGGTATGCCGGTGAACTCCTGAACCATCTGCCGGAAATTGGAGGTGTCCGTAGTGAGTACGGTAGTCGGCGCTCTCCTGGAAGCCCTGCTCCGTTTCTTTGGATTGCTCTTCTTCGCCGCCGGCTGCGGCTGCGGCGGAGATGATAAATCACCGGGCCCGCCACGACCCAGAGCGACAAAATTCTGATTGTGATTATTGTTGGCCATCTCAGCAAGCACTTGGTGCTGATGATGATGTGACGCCCCACCAAACAACAGAGGAGGCGATTGATCGGATCTTAACAACCCCAAAGGCGGCGGCGGCCAAACAAGACCACCACCACCCACGGCGTCATTGTTATGATGATTATGAAAGTGGGAATTGAGAGATTGGGGAAAGTTATTGCCATCATCTTCATCGTCGCCGTCATCTTGGGGATCGAACAGAGACAGAGCCGGCGGTGACTGGGCCAGAAACTGGCCCTGGAGCTGCTGTAGGGAAGTGGAGGATGATGATGAAGGCGAGACCAAAAGCAAGTTTTGTTGCTGCTGCTGGGTAATGGTGTTCGAGAAAGTCGTCGCCGTCGTGATTGGGGTTGTCGGCTGATCATCACCCCCTGCCGCCGCTGCATCGTAGTACTCATCTTCTTCCTCTTCTCCGCCGCTTGATGAACACTGCTGCAGGAGGCCCACTTTACCATCATTACACGAATCCATACCTGAGATCTTATGCGGTAATAATTATCAGAAAAAAGGATGGCCAAATTAACAGTTTGGTGAAACAAAATAATCCAATGACAATTTTAAAAAAACTACGGAGTATCAAATAACAGTATAACACATCCATAAATAGAAGTATGTTACTCTTTAGGATGTTTTTAGTTGGAATATAATTCGTCCCAGATCACACCAGATCATACCAGATTTGAATAGTTATAAAAATATTTGTAATATTGACTTTTTTGGTCAGACTAGAAGTGGACAAACAAATACGTACAAGAAAAGTGGGTTAGATTGGGGAATACGGAGTACTATTTTGGAGTGGATTAGGGCGGGTCTTAATTTTGAAACAACAATTGTGTGTAGAAAAGTGGGTATAAGAGTAAGTACAAAGATCATTTTTTATTTTAAAAACTAATAAATCAAGCGGGTATTAAAATTTGAAAAAAAGAATACCTGACCGACACGTTTTTAAAAATAAACAACAGCTCTTCGTAAGTAACCTAACACTTCTTCTATCATATTTTACGTGTTTTAATTTCTTTTTTGATGTTTTCATAATAAGTGTCATATTTCTTTGTTTTTTAGAAAAAAATATACTCCATATGATTCAAATTAGTAAACTCAAACATCAACCACAAGTTTTACTTTTTTATTACTTTATTTGTAATTGTATTAAACCCAAACAAGACACATAAAATTAAAAACAAACTACTTCATATATAACTTTCTATTTCAAGTAAATAGTTTGTCGTTGTATTTATTTTTCTTTACTATGCACAACTCTCAATGACACAATTTTTTACTTTTAATATTACACACTTGACTCTAATTTAATTTGATAATATCCAAAGGGAGGAAGGAAATAACAAAAAGTAAACAATATATGTTGATTACTCTATTTGTATCAAATTGATCTACAAAGTCAATATTTCTAGTCAATCAGTATTAAAGTTATACCCTTTATTGATAATTAAATCAAATTTTAATAATTAAAATTTACATGTTCAAAAATTAGATAAAAATATGTTCAAAGTTCCAAGCTCCAAATTAGAATATAATTAAAACATTTTAGCAAAAATGAGTATATATACACTTTTCGTCCCGCTATGATTATATTTTTTTTGTTTTCAAAAATCCCATTAAAATCGTTTCATACAAATTTGGTAAAATTTTTGTAGCTTAAGTCATTCTTATATTATTAGTACTTTATCAACCAAATAAACTCATTTCTTAATAACTAGGAATGTCAATGGGGCGGGGTTGGGGCGGGGGTTCACTCCCCCATCCCCGCCCCATGTCTTAAAAATCACCCCCCACCCCATCCCCCACTACTATTCGATCCGCCCCATCCCTGTCCTGACCCGCTAGACCCACGAATACCCAACGAGGGAAATATTCGTAAAAAATTAATACTATTTTAGACTCCGACAGTGTTTCAAAAATTAAACAACACTTCTAGTAGTCAAAAAACCTTTTAGTTTTTAAATGTCAATGTAATCTTGCATGCCATTTCAAATCTAGAACACATTATACGCATTTTGATTTAGTCATTTTCTCAAATACTTTATTAGCATTGATTAGTTCTATAATATTTTCTTAAATCCTGCATTCAATCAACCATGGTCATTTGAGAGCATCTAGGACGACCTATGGTCACCAGATATTTTAGAGCCGTATCTATAATCATAAAGATGACATGCTTAAGAAGAGAATTAATGCACTGTAATATATACTAAAAGAAGAAAACATTCACACGGTGCCTGGTGCATTTAAGCTAAGTTAATATCACTTTATAACTTTCCCAAAATCATTTTACTTTATCACCCAAAAAAATTCATTTTACTTTATGATTTTTATAAGCAATTTTACAACTCATTAGGTACAACCCATTAGATAGGGAATCACTAAACCCATCGGGTCACCATGTTATTTTAATTACTATTATTAGTAGTAGTATTATTAGTATTATTGTTGTGATTATTATTATTAATTATTTATATGTGTATATATACGGGGCGGGGCGGAGACGGTGCGGCGTGTATAACCCGTCACCCGCCCCATATTTAAGCGGGAAGGAAATAATTCTCCGTCCCCATACCGCCCCGCCACCCGCCCCAACTCCCCCAAGGCGGCGGTTACCCACGGCCCACGGGCCCTTATTAATAAGGGATAAGGGTCAGATAAGGTCTCGAACTTGAAAAAAAATGTCAATTAAGGCCATATTTAGGATGTTCTGTCCGGCCGACGCCATTTGGGGCGGTTCCTAATAGAATTTTTTGATGAATTTTTTTGAGAATCTTATTCATTAAGTCTAGTTTACTCATATCAAATTTGAACTAAAACTTCAATCGGGAAGGCATTCAAATGAATTCTTGAAGATAACTGTGCAGTTAAAAGCGCAATTATCTTCAAGAATTCATTTGAATGCCTTCCCGATTGAATTAGTAGTTCAAATTTGATATGAGTAAACTAGACTTAATGAATAACATTCTCAAAAAAATTCATCAAAAAATTCCACCGGGAACCACCCCAAATGGCGTTAGCCGGACATAGCAGCCTAAATATGGCCCTATTTGACATTTTTTTCGAAGTTCGAGGCCCCTATCTGACCCTTATCCCTATTAATAACCATCACCTGGCCTATTCAAACCGATCTGATCAGAACCGTCATCAAGCTGCCTTCATTTGAGATTCTTCTGATGAAGTTTCTATGACATCTTGTATGCATGTTCTTTCATGAAGTAATGGATCGTACTACTCGTGTATACTAATCAGTATTATACCAAGTATGCAGCATACTCATCATATTATCATAAGAGCATCACATATACTTCGTCTTCGTATATACGGAGTAGTTATATTCCGTATGTATATGCCTGGCCTGGGAAAAAAAAGATTAGTTCCTGCTACGTTCGTACCTGTAGTGATCGATGGATGGATGGATGGATAAGTGATGAAGCTTTGGCAGAATCGCAGGCACGCCTGATGTAGCTAAGCTATAGCCAGCTAGGAATATATTATAATAATGAAGAGTACGTACGTACGTAAGTCCTGGCCAGCGGTAATTTACTTCTTCTTACTCGATCATTTGAAGAGCCAGATCCAGCCTATCATCTTTCCTTTTCCTCTTCTCGATCTTCAGCAATACGGAGTGGAGTATATGTTTTTATCTTTGATTCAGCAGTTGGAGTTTAGGGTTTGGGTGAGTGGAGGATCGGATGGGGAGATCAGAATCATCAGGACTGTTGTGTCAGCTTTGGTGGCGAGCGCGCATATGATGATGATGATCAGAAGCAGGGCAGGGGTCGGTAGTAGTGGGAGACGACTGGCTAAAAGACGATGGAAAGATGGATCATCAGATAGATGGATGGATGGACTGGATGGTGCCCGTGGGTGGCGACGGGTCAACTCAAACACCAGGTGGCTAGTAGCTAGGTAGGGGGAAAGTTGATCAATACAGCTATACCTGGCAAACATAAATGAAAACAATAGTTAGTTTATCAATATGAATGCATTGTGCGCTGACAATACTATTACCTCTAATCATTGTATCATTGAAATTATAAAGTGTATCATTGCAACTTCGGCTTATCAAGCTTATCACCCAACTTTTTTATCAAACACGTAAATTTTGTTTTCGCGCGCTGAATTGTTTGATAAGCAGAAAAAGTAAGATTGTAGTTATTTTTATGACTGTATTGGCTGAAGTTACTGTAGATGACCATTTCATTTTCATTTTTATTTACCCCAGTGCCGCAAAGGCTCCCAGTTACGGTGGGGTAAGGGGGGGTCAGATGTACGCAGTCTTACCCCTGTACTAAAGCATAGAGAGACTGTTTCCGGATGACCCATAGTGAAAATCGCGTCCAAAATTGCATGGACTGACTGTTGCTTCATAACAAAGAAGCGCAGACAGTTTAGTGAACCATTTTGCTTTATTCCATCATATTTTCAAGCCAAAAAATAATGAATCTTTGGCTCCATTGCAAATGATGGAAATTTACTGTAGATGACCATTTTAGCTATTTTTACATATAATTTTTTCTTGATTTTATTAATAAAATATATTTTAAAAATATTTTTTTCTTATATTAGCAGAATCAGCCAATGCAGTCACTTCAGCCAGAACTTCATAAATTTCAACAGAATCAGCCAAAAGAGCCGATTTTCGTGCTACCAAACGGGCTCATAGTGTACACACGTTTTTTTGTAACCGGTGGGCATAGCTCAACTGGTAGCGAGGGAGAGACACAAGGATTAGGTCTCGGGTTTGAATCTTGGCAACTGCGATGAGGGGTTACTATGCTGAAAAAGGCATAGGACTTCTGCAAGTGCCGGGGACAGAGCCTAGGGGTGAGCAGAACCCGAACCCACCCGAAAACCCGATCGGGTCTGCCCTCAAATACCCGCCTGGGTCGGTCGACCCGAACCCGAGAACCCGAAACGAAAAGCCCAGCCCATGGTTTAAGGGTTATGGGTTACGGGTAGGGTATTCTAAATGGCTACCCGACCCGCCCGAATACCCGAACTACCCTAAGTATATATACTAATTATTTTACCCTAAACCCAACCCTACCACTTCAGCGCCTCCACTCTTCACTCGCAACTCCCTCTAACCCTCTCCCCTACTCCGACTTCTCTCTAACCATCCAACTTCTACCATCTCCGATTCTCCGGTAGTCCGTTAGTCCCTCACTCCCTGTAAATCTGTAATTGTCCGACCTCTGTAGTCTGTACGAATTAGCCTCTCTGCCTTGGTGGAAGCTGAATATAGCGTGCGGTCTTGTGGATTTTGTGGAAGCTTGCAAGTTGCAACCCATTCGATTATCTGAATTCTTTGATCTTTGTGAGGTATAAACGTTAAATACTTAAACTGTATGTTTGGTCCGCTTGGATTAACCATTTCATGCATCTTCCAATCTGAAAAATTGGCTTTGAAATGTGCTTTGGTGGAAGCCTGGTCCCTAAATGTGATGTGTTATCAGTTTTGTAAATGAATTAGTTGTGTTATTTAGATGCACTGTTATGTGTTTGGTGGAAGCTTGAAACCCTAGATTCGGCCTGTGAACCCCTTTGTATGAACTACCTAATAATCTGTGATGCCTGATGCCTCGATGATGCCTATGTGATTCTGAGATTATTATATAAATGGCCTATGAGTAAAGATGATGGTTGATTTATTTTGACAAGTGTTGAAGTTGCCATTTTCTACTCAAACACTCAAAGGAGTAGTTAGAGTGAACCGGTATCTTCTAAGTCTGTAGAGAAGTGAATAAGCCTACTGCTTATATCCTTCTGTAAATCAGCTTGCTGATTGTTCCAGACTTTAATGTGAATGTATGAATGTATGATGTTGTTTTCAATCTGTGATGCTTTGGTCATGTCTGAGAATATGTGATTATGAGATTAGAGTGGAAGCTGCCCATTTCTCTGAGTATGTGTAAATTGTAATGTGGAGTCATTACAAATTTTCATAATTATGATGCTTTCATACAAATATTTTGTATATTCTGAATTTCTGATTATTGGTTAATACAATTTGTTGAGTAAAGAACTAAAGATGATGGATGATATGTTCTGACAAGTGTTGAGGTTACCTTTCTCTACTCAAACACTCAAAGGAGTAGTTAGAGTGAACTGGTATCTTCTAAGTCTGTAGAGAAGTGAATAAGCCAACTGCTTATATCCTTCTGTAGATCAGCTTGCTGATTGTTCCAGACTTTATTGTGAATGTATGAATGTATGATGTTGTTTTCAATCTGGAAGCTTGCATTGAGTTTTTTGAACTATATATTCCTATGAATTATCAGAATGGAAGTTGAATGTATGGATACCATACCTGCATCTGGTTCTCAACCCCCTCTGACTCCTGTTTCCCAAGAACCTATGGTGGAAGCTAATGATGCTGGGGCTAACACCAGCACACAGCAGACAAATGTTCCTGGAAATAAGAGAAAGGAGGTAGAGTCCAGATCTAAAATATGGGATCAGTTTGTTAAGATCAAAGATAGTAATGGTGTTGTTATCAAAGGAAAATGCATACATTGTGCTAAAACATATTGTTGTCAGTCTAAGAAGCATGGCACTTCTTCTCTTAGAAATCACATACTCAGTTGTCTGAAATTGCCTTGCTCCAAGGATGCAAGGCAAGCCCTTCTCACTTTCCAACCAGTTCTGTGTAATCCAACATCTGAAAAAACTGGGGTGTTAGGGACTTGGGTGTTTGATCAGGGTGCAATTAGGAGAGCACTTGCTGAAATGCTTATCATTGATGAGCTGTCATTTAGATTTGTGGACAGACAAGGATTTAAGAAGTTTATCTCCGTAGCTTGTCCTAGGTTCCAAATTCCTTCCAGATGGACAATTGCTAGAGACATCTACCAAATTTTTTTAGATGAGAAAGTAAGTCTGAAAAAGTTGTTTAGGGAACACACTCAGAGGGTCTCTATAACAACTGACACATGGACCTCTGTACAAAGGATCAATTACATGTGTATAACAGCACATTTCATTGATCATGAGTGGAAGTTGAATAAAAAAATAATTTCCTTTGTTCCTGTGACTTCCCACAAAGGAGAGTACTTAGCAAAAGCCCTAGAGTCTTGCCTGGTAGATTGGGGATTGAAATCTATCTTCACTGTGACTGTTGATAATGCTAGTAGTAATGACACTGCAATTGGTTTTTTTAAGAAGAAACTTTTATCTTGGGGTGCCTCTTCTGTAAAAGTTAAGTACCTTCATATGAGGTGTATTGCTCATATCCTTAATTTGGCTGTCCAAGATGGTTTAAAAGAAAGTGATACTTCTGTTCAAAGAGTCAGAGATGCTGTTAAGTATGCTAACCTCAACACTTGTCAGAACATATCATCCATCATCTTGCTGATTGTTCCAGACTTTATTGTGAATGTATGAATGTATGATGTTGTTTTCAATCTGGAAGCTTGCATTGAGTTTTTTGAACTATATATTCCTATGAATTATCAGAATGGAAGTTGAATGTATGGATACCATACCTGCATCTGGTTCTCAACCCCCTCTGACTCCTGTTTCCCAAGAACCTATGGTGGAAGCTAATGATGCTGGGGCTAACACCAGCACACAGCAGACAAATGTTCCTGGAAATAAGAGAAAGGAGGTAGAGTCCAGATCTAAAATATGGGATCAGTTTGTTAAGATCAAAGATAGTAATGGTGTTGTTATCAAAGGAAAATGCATACATTGTGCTAAAACATATTGTTGTCAGTCTAAGAAGCATGGCACTTCTTCTCTTAGAAATCACATACTCAGTTGTCTGAAATTGCCTTGCTCCAAGGATGCAAGGCAAGCCCTTCTCACTTTCCAACCAGTTCTGTGTAATCCAACATCTGAAAAAACTGGGGTGTTAGGGACTTGGGTGTTTGATCAGGGTGCAATTAGGAGAGCACTTGCTGAAATGCTTATCATTGATGAGCTGTCATTTAGATTTGTGGACAGACAAGGATTTAAGAAGTTTATCTCTGTAGCTTGTCCTAGGTTCCAAATTCCTTCCAGATGGACAATTGCTAGAGACATCTACTAAATTTTTTTAGATGAGAAAGTAAGTCTGAAAAAGTTGTTTAGGGAACACACTCAGAGGGTCTCTATAACAACTGACACATGGACCTCTGTACAAAGGATCAATTACATGTGTATAACAGCACATTTCATTGATCATGAGTGGAAGTTGAATAAAAAAATAATTTCCTTTGTTCCTGTGACTTCCCACAAAGGAGAGTACTTAGCAAAAGCCCTAGAGTCTTGCCTGGTAGATTGGGGGTTGAAATCTATCTTCACTGTGACTGTTGATAATGCTAGTAGTAATGACACTGCAATTGGTTTTTTTAAGAAGAAACTTTTATCTTGGGGTGCCTCTTCTGTAAAAGTTAAGTACCTTCATATGAGGTGTATTGCTCATATCCTTAATTTGGCTGTCCAAGATGGTTTAAAAGAAAGTGATACTTCTGTTCAAAGAGTCAGAGATGCTGTTAAGTATGTTAGAAATTCTCCTGCTAGGCTACAAAAATTCAAGGACATTTCAGACTTGATTGGAATGGAAACTAAAGCTGGATTGCACCTAGATGTCCCAACTAGGTGGAATTCAACCTATTTGATGCTCAAATCTGCAATGTCCAATGAAAAAGTGTTTGAAGCTTATGAGGAGAATGAGAGTTCCTATCTTGTTGATCTGGGAAGTGAGAGTCCTGACGTTGAGGACTGGATTGCAATTGAAACTTTGGTGGTCATTCTTAAAAATTTCTATGATATGACACTTAGGATTTCAGGCTCTCTTTATGTCACTGCAAATACCTTCTTCTCTGAAATATCTGATCTGTTCCTTTTTCTCAAAGAAATGGTTGCTTCTGAAACTGAATCTGTGTCTAAAATGGGGACTACTATGAAATCCAAACTGGATAAGTATTGGGGTGATCCAGAAAAAATGAACATGCTCATTTTCTTTGCAAATGTGCTTGACCCTAGAGACAAATATGAATACATGCCACATCAATTGAATGCTTTGTATGGGGATAAGATAGGTGTGACATTCTTTGCAAAGATAAAGTTGGGTTTGAATGAGTTGTATGGTGATTATGTTACAAACTATGATGTTCCAGTCAGTGGAAGCTCTGAATTAACCCCAAATTCTG